AATTTTTTTTTTCTTATCTTTTTTTTTTTATTTTTCTTTTTTATAGAACAATCGAAAAGTCAACGTCTCCAACAAAAACAACAACAACCACCACCTCAAGAATATTATCAACAAAAAAAACAGATTACGAAGAACTGTCATTTGTGTCGTGAAAACAAACGACGAAGTCTCGCTCTTTATATAAGGGAAAAATCGCGAAGAAGTTCTTGTCAAGAAATACATGAGGAACTTGAAGAAATCGAGGAAGAGGAAAAAGAAATAATAAAGAACGAAAAAAAAGAAATAACTGATAAAACCCATGACAGTAACGTATCGTTCATTGGAAACGATCAGAGGTTATGCGAAGCGGAAGAAAAAAAGCTTGAAAATAAATGCTTCATACAAGAGTGAAACTCCCCAAGGTATTCGTGCCGTCCATTATTTGTTTCTTAAGATTTTTTTCTCCACAAAAAAGGAGAGAGTGAGAGAATGCGTGTGTGTGTGAAAGAGAGAGAGAGAGAAAAAGAAAGTTAATCCTAAACATAGATAAAAAATTACTTTCTATGCAAACTTTTTTTTTTCTTTATCTTATCGTAAATTTAAAAATATAAGATTACATAACCTCATCATTTTCGCATTATCTTGCATTGTAACTAGCTTATATTCAGCTATGCGTGCGCATACATATATTCATTCACATAAATTATAAATATAATATCAATTAACATAATCATGTTAATATTCAATTCTAACATAGAAATAATCATTTTGTGCCAAGTTTAACTTTTTCGTTAACATTAAAAAAGGATTAGATACGAAACTTCAAATTTCTCCTAACTATAATATTTGATGTAGAATACTATAACAAGACTGAATGAGTAATGATCAGTACAAATATGTAAAGTTTCGTCCCTTTTTCCGATGAATCATAACAGATACAATCATCTAATTACTATTCTCGACAATAATAACGAATTGAAAGTAGTTAATAATTTTTTTACAATTCTATATCTCGCGGCCAGTTTGAAATATTCCATTAAACTTATATTTTTTAAAGGAATTAGAAAAACATCCAAAATTTTTTATATATTCTCGCAAGATTTTATATACATATTTGTAATTCACGTTTCGTGGAAAAAAAAACAAAAAAGTAACAAAAAAAAAAGAAAGAAAAATATCTAACTTTTTGCATTTAACACCGTTATTACTATACAAAAAATAACTTTTTTAACGATGTAATTATATAAAACTCATAATACATAACATGCATGTTGTATTTGCGATTTAATGAAATATATATATATATATATATATATATATATATATATATATATAAAAAAAATAATAAAATCATTATCCAAAAATTTGAGCTTATTTCATTTATACATTAATAGTTAAATATTTTGTAAACTTTTTTTTACAAATTTTGAGATTAAGGTTATGTTTATAACATAAGCACGTACACCAAAGGCGAACGTGTCATATAACATGTATTTCAATTTATAATCCTTTCGAAATTCGAGATAATATTCGAATGAAGGTCAATATGTGATTACTATGATAATTTTCAGACTTTGAGACAATATTGAAATATTATCGATATAATGATATTTATCGTAAAAAATATTGAAATATAATCTATTTATATTTTAATAAACAATAACAAATATATCTTGGCAAAGATAAAAAAAATAATTTTATTTCTTATTGTATCGATTTGAAATATGAAATCATTTCGTGGTGTGTGTGTATACGTGTGTATGTGTGTGTGTGTATACGTGTGTATGCATGTATATGCATATGTATATGTGTATATGTATATGTATGATAGCCATATGTATATGTATGATATCTGTGAACCCATTAAGGCAAGGCAACAAACAAGAAAGTGCGTAAAAGGTTCGAACGAACCTACGTGAATCTGGTCACGTACTATCATTCGTCTTGTCATCAGTCGATGCTGACTAACGTTAAACTGACGTGCACAATGCGTTGTTAATATCGTCAGCTTAACAGATATGTTCTTAAGAAATACATGATAAAATCGATGAGGTAAATGAAATCAAAATGTGATTATCTTTTTTAACTCTTTATAACTCAACTTTTTGTCTAAAAATGATTATGTAATGTGAAAATTGTAGTCTTATTTATATTAATATGATTATAATATATAATAAATATAAGTTATATTTAATAAATAATGAAAAATTTCAAATAATAATTATATATATATATATATATATATATATATATATATATACATATATATATATTCTTAATATAAAGTAATAATTATTTTATTTATTTTGTGACAATAAAATGAAATAAAACTTATAAAATACAGATATACATATATATGCATATGTATATGACTTCAATTACATGACATTATAAAGGATTTTAAGATAATCGACCCACAATTGATATTCATTTTTTTATGAAAAGCAATAATATAACTGTTTGTATAGATAAGAATTAGAAAATTTACTCACTTTTAGTAGCCACGTTAGAACAGATTCACGGTATGGGACAAAACCTCGTTTACGATTGTTTGTATTTTCTGCAAGCGATGCGATTACTTTCCCCAAGGTAAGAAGAGATTTATTGATAGATACACCTTCCTGTCAAAAAAATATTTTATAATAAATTCTTAACGTTTAACTATTTTACACATATATACGCACATAATATATACGTACTCTTAATCTATTTCCACTTGCACAGGTTTGACTTAATCTTTCACTGCCTGCTAAGTCGACTAAATTTATTTTACTACGACGACTTGCATCAGTGGATGAACATTTCAAATCATTTAATTGCGTTTGAGTTAATATAATACTGAAAATACTATGTGATCGTGAACTTTTTTCATTCATACCAGTTGCTGCTGTTGCTCTCTGAGAATTACCTACTTTCAACCAAATCTAAATGGAATATAAAGACAAATTTCGAATGGTTATTAAGCTTTGATATACATACGTTTTTGATTACAATTTGATATCTATTGTTATAGAATTTCATACAAGTACCTGTAAGTCTTTATAATTTTTTATACAATGCTGACTTAAATCTACAATATAAGGTCCATAAACTGGATGTTCTCTAACTTTAAGAGCTGTCCTTTTATCTCCGTTAGTAGCACTCGCTAGAAGATCATGTATCTTCTCGTTGTAAATTTCAAAGTAACTTATTTCTACTGTTGTTTTAAAATTTTTATTACTGGGTATTTGTGTAAATATTTCCTGGCAAAATCGTGGTATGATACCAGCCTCTTTATCAACGATCATAGAATTTTCTTGAGAAGATTCAATACCCATCATGCTATAACTTTTACCAGATCCTGTTTGACCATATGCAAGCAGACATACGTTATAACCTTCAAATGCATTTTGTACTAATGGCAATACCATGGTATTAAAAACAACTTCTTGACTAGCATGTTTAGATATTGACGAATCAGAGTAAGAAACAAAACAATGATCATATGTAAATCTATGTAGTGATGTTTCACAATCTACATTAATGCTTTGACCATCAATATTTAAAACTGAAGCAATTTTTACCTCACTTAATTCTCTGTAATAATAATAACATCAACATGTTACCCACAAAATGATAAGAAATATATTACTTTATGAAATTACTATATAAAGAAATATTATGAAAGGAGAAAATGAAGTATGAAAATTTAAATAAACTGACTTACTTTAAATTCAAAGGTCTCACACGTATACCGACTGTTAAATTACTATTTTCACCTTCAATAGCTTCATCCATTCCATTATCATTAAATTTAACACTAGGCGTTTCAAGTTGTACTTTACTAAAACAATCAGGAGTCGCTTGTGATAGATTTTGATCACTGAAATATCTTTTCGTAGGAGTCTTAGAAGAAGATAATACGTTCATTTTTGTATTACGTGGAGTTAAACATGTTTTTTGCTGCTTTGGTGTACATAAATATCCAGGAACAGCTTTATTATCAGATAATCTGGACACAGATTCTGTCTTTAAAGGAGTTTTCATTATATTACCGGATATGAAAGAATCATTGTTTTGTAATGTATTTATTGTTTTGGAATGTTTATCATCGACATTAGATGATCTTTTCAATGGATCAAGAAATTGAGAAATCTCATTTCTCGTATATAACTTATGTTTTTTATATAACAATTGTTTTGTTTTATTTTGATTTTTTATTGTAGGTGATTCAGTAAATATATTACGGTGTGATGCTTTTGATCTATAAAATACAATTTTTAAATACAATAGATAATAATATTATCGTACAAATCTTCAACATATGAATATTTAAAACAATCATAAAACTTATGAATAAAAAATAATATGAAATAATTAAAATTATATTCTTTATCGATGAAAATAATAACAACAATTGACTTACACCTCTTTTGCCGGAGACTTGTTTTCTTTGTCAAATTTTATTGGTGACATAGAAAATATTGCGTCGCAAAACCCATGTGGACTAGATTTGGAGATATTGTGCGACATTTTAACAAATTATGCAGAACTATTTTAAATAAAATTAATAATAAAGAAACTGTACCTAAAGCATTACGATGCAACTAAACAAATTTACTGAATCCCGCTCTTCTGACAGTTGCGCTTAAACCTGTGACTATAACAAGAATGGACACAAACACTTTTCTAAACTCACATTATATACAAATGTTTTACAATTTTTGGTTATTACTAAAAATGAGCAAACGATAGTTTTCAATGTAATTAATAATTAATTAACAAACTTCTCTTAATAAATTATAACTAATAATTATAAAGAAGATTATAATTATTATTTAAAATAAATAAATGAAAAGATCAAATTTCCCTATACACTAAAGTTTATATTATAATCAATGGTCGGAATATATTGAAGTGCCTCCTAATGTTATTTTCCAGAAACTTTACTAGCCAGGGCTGTATCAAAAGAAATTAACCAACAACCTATACATAAAAATTTGTTGAACAATTTTACAAAAAATAGTGAAATAAACGTAATAATTAGAAGAAATCATTTTCAATGAAATGATCAAAAGGTAAGTAACTTATTAGTAATATATAATAAGTTACTCATATATAATTAAATATTCCTTATTGTTAAAACATTTGACTGTACGTATCTTATAGCTAATCATGAGTTATAAATTACTAATAATGCTTTTAATAATAAAGTACATTTTCAATCTGTTATTTTTTTTATATTTAGAAAAAATGATCGTAAATAATTTAATGTTATATAAAATAATGCTTTATTACTAACAATCATTATAATTAATCATTACGATCCATTAAGTAATTATATCACAGTACTATATGTGTTCTATATATTATTTAAATAAATATAAAATAATCGAAAATAGAAATTATTTAAATTATCCTTTACGAAAGAAGAAATCCGGCACGTTTACACATTGGAGTCTGATAGAAGACAGATTCATTTATTATTATTAAAGTCTCTTGGGTCCTTGTTATTGTTTACAGCACTGGCTACAGCAACGATTGCATAGCCAGAAATATAAACTTATATATACATATGTACATAATGCGAGATTTCAAATTAAAATTATTTAAATGTTCAAAACCTGAATATTACTTATCTTTTTTTTCTTATATATTAAATCTCCATTAATATTAAAAAAAAAAAAAGAGATAGATACATGTATAATGTAGGAAAGAAATAATTAAATAAAAATTTATTTAAAAGAAATTAATAATATGATTATGCATGTAACAAAATTAAATTAAAATTTGAATAATATTAATTTTCATACTTATATATAATCAAACAATAATATATAATATAAAATCTAAGAGCAGAAACATAATCAAAAAAATTTTATTAATCGTGAAAATAAATAAATATATTTTCTAGTTTAATAATTAATTGAATTAGATTCTTGACATACATACGTAGCTTCCCTTTATTTTTCTACATCACGAATCAAACTAATATATAATTAATACATAAAAATATATTATTAAGTACAAATATATAATTAATAAATCGAATAATAAAAGAAATCGAACTTTACTTCTACATATTGTATATCTAACTTGTAAATATTCTAGAAACATGATTTTTATGTAAAAACTTATATTATTTACAGAAGTATTTAATAATCAATAATTTATAATTTAAATAAAATAGGATTCAGTGTGTGTGTGTGTGTGTTCGTGTGTGTGTGCTCGTGTGTGTGTGTGTATTTTGGGAATCATCGGAAATGCTTATTTAATCTTTAGAAGAAGAAATTGAAGTGACATTTACGCGGAAAAGTAATAAATAAATTGAAATATGACGAGAAGAAAGAAGAATTTGACCTACTTATTCGGACATTACTAATCTAAATAAATTCCAAGAAGAAGAAGAATTGACTTACTGACTCATACAATTCCTTGAAAAATTCCAGCTTTCAGTAGCTGTAATTACAACGATAAAATAAAATTCTTATATTTGCTTTATACATGTGAACCTAAGCACTTACACATTATAATCGAGCTCGACAAAGAAGGCTTTGACTTACATTTGCAAACACTATTGACGTATATAAATTGTCTCATCGGTCTATATATCAAGAAAATATAATATCGTGAAAAAATACCTGCATTTTCTTGCGAAAATAAATGATAAAAAAAACTCTTTCATTTGCTTTCACACATATTGCACAAAATATACAAACGACGTCAAACTCTCGGATAAAAAAAATGGTTTGAACCTATCTATTTTAACATACAATTGTCACACACACACACACACACACACACACACACACACACACACACACATACACACATACACACACACACACATATGTTATTTGTCAAATAATCTGGCAAAAATTATGTTTTATGTCTCGTCATTATCCTTGGTTTTATAATGCTTTACAATGAGTTAACTAATAATTCATGATCGATTTCGTTAAAGAAATTCTTATTCTAAAGATGAATGTTTAAATAATAATGTTATTTTTATTTTATCATTTTAGAATATCATTATAATCGTTTGTAATACAATGAAGGAGTCGAGTATTGTATCATTATAGTAAAAAACGCGATAATGAACTCGTTTACAATTTCTTCATCATTTTAAGACAAGATGTTCGTCGCGCAAGTATTAACGAAAATTTAAAGTAAATACATTTTTATCAATCATTAAAAATTATATCAATCATTTTTTTAATAATTTTTACGATTTTTTTTATTATAATAGTTATCATAATAATTTTGTTTTTCTTTTTCTATTTTAGAACATCATTGTAATTGTATACGAAGTAACGATAAAATCAAATGTTCGTATCGTTAAAATAAAAATTCAAAAAACGCAAAATAGAAGCAATGTTTTTTCATTTGAGTTATGCGATTTAAACAAGTGTCTTTGAATTGAAATGCAGTCGTTAGGATCTTTTTCTTTTTAACAATCGCACAGACTGTATTTATGAAAGTCAACAGTTTCGCAAAGTAAATTCAATGACTTTCCGTTAATAAATAACCGCGTATCAGAGTCAGTGCATCGTTAAAGAGAATCTCAATCTACAGCAATATCGATTTATCTCATTTTCTATTAACTACGAATTATTCACTCTCAATTATGATCTAAATCGCGGACGAGTTTACAAGTAAAATTACATAGATTTTTTTTCTAATAATAACAATAATTAAAGTAAGACTGAGGATCTAAGAATTTATCATTATATTTACAAATAAAAATTAATAAAATATTTAATCAATTTTCTTTCGATGAAAGAAAAATGATTCCATGTCATTGCTTTAAATGAAAAAAGTTCAGTGTAGTAACTGCTTTTGAAAGAGAAAAAATGAGTAGAATCATTGATAAAAGACAGTAAGATTTGTGAAATCATAGACCACAGGCTCTTAAAACTAGAAAATCACGAAACGAATATAAAATGGCAATTATCGATAGGACAGGAAGTGCTTTAAGATAAATTTTAAATAAGGTAAAAGTAAATTTTAAATAAGGTAAAAGAAATGGAGAGATAAGAACACTTAAATATATTCTATCTTTTTTACTTCTATGGTATTACAGAAAACAATATGTTTATAAATTTTTCATTTTCGATATAAGTAATTCAATATAAGTTACAAAATACATCGAATTATGGAATATGTCGAGTTCAGATATTGAGTTAAAGATATCTGAAAATGAAATTTATATAACATTGACTTATTCGTGATACACGGGAATTACGAAAAAGATAATTAAATGTATAGATACAAAAAATCGACAAGAATAGATAAAATCTTACGAAAGAAAAAAGAAAATCTTATTATTTATCGAAAGATAAAATCTTTCGATAAAGTATGTCTCGCAATACTATCAATTTAAAATCAACTTCAACATTTAAAATGTGTTGAACATAGACTAAATTAAATTCGTATGAAGGAGAACATAAAAACTTTTGATAAGATGAAATGTGGAATAGAGTTTTTTTATTTTTTGATTAGATAACAAACAATCTCTCGAAACTATCGATTTAAAATTAATCGTGTTGAACACATATTGATTTAAATATTTATATAAGAGAAAATAAAATCTTACGATTGGACGAAATGTAAAACAGTTCTTTTCTATTTTTTGATTAGATAAATAAATCTCGTGATATTATCGATTTTTCGTACTTCGTACTGAAAGGCCTTGAGCGCGTTAAAGTTAAAATTACTAATTAATTTTCAAAAAATAATAATAATATTAAAAGAATAATAAAATAAAAATAATCATCAATTTGATGAACGACTGCTTTCACTTTTTCAATATATGATTAATTGCAATAAATATAATAGTCACCAAAATATAACAAGGTTTTTATATCAAGGCATTCTTTTAAATTTATATTATTAAAAATACAATTTACATTTATAGAATATAAAAATAAAGAAGAAAATTATTACATTATACACGTTTAGTATCCGCACTAGATCTTCGGAAGTTGCAAAAGTTACAAAGATTGTGATGCAGGAGATACATAATTTTAATTCAAAATCCCAAAAATGTTGATCTCAGGATTGTTGGCTTTGTACAATATAAACATACACAGTCCTTCTATTAATTTTTATTACCAAATTAGTTTCCCTTTGCACTGCAACCAGTACACACCTACCCTCTCTCTTCCTAAACGCGAGTACTTATAAATTAATACCTTCGATAATTTTATAATTATTTAGACAATAAATAATCTACATACAGTATAATAAACTAATATTTAAACAATAATAAATCCGTTTAAACATTGAGAAGATGGAAACGCACAAAGAACTTAAAATAATTTTAATATAATATTCCCCTTCTTTAAAATTTTATCGCGACGTTGTTGGCCTTGCGGTATTTAAACATAAACAGTCCTTCTGTTAATTGTGTCTAACCAAATTAGTTTCCCTTTGCACTCCGACCAGTACACACCTATCCTCTCTCTTCCTAAACGCGAGTACTTATAAATTAATACCTTCGATAATTTTATAATTATTAAGACAATAAAAAATCTACACGCAGTATAATAAACTAATATTTAAACAATAATAAATCTGTTTAAACATTCAGAAGATGGAAACGCACAAAGAACTTAAAATAATTTTAATATAATATTCCCCTTCTTTAAAATTTTATCGCGACGTTGTTGGCCTTGCGGTATATAAACATAAACAGTCCTTCTGTTAATTGTGTCTAACCAAATTAGTTTCCCTTTGCACTCCGACCAGTACACACCTACCCTCTCTCTTCCTAAACGCGAGTACTTATAAATTAATACCTTCGATAATTTTATAATTATTTGGACAATAAATAATCTACACGCAATATAATAAACTAATATTTAAACAATAATAAATCTGTTTAAACATTCAGAAGATGGAAACGCACAAAGAACTTAAAATAATTTTAATATAATATTCCCCTTCTTTAAAATTTTATCGCGACGTTGTTGGCCTTGCGGTATATAAACATAAACAGTCCTTCTGTTAATTGTGTCTAACCAAATTAGTTTCCCTTTGC